TATGTCCTGAATTCTGTTTTTCCAAATAAAACATTTTGTTTGGAGATTCATCTCCAGAGTTTTATTTGACTTTGACAACACCATAATCAAATTGCTGAAAACTAAAAACAAAAAATGTGAAGGTAGCCAAAAAAAAACAAAACCTTAGTATAAAAAAGAACATGGATTCAAATGACTACTGATTTCTCATCAAAAACCAGACAGACTGAAATGAAATGGCACATTTTTAAAGAGCAGGAACAAAGAAAAAAATCTGTCCACCCAAAATTCTACAGACTGTTAAAATTATTTAAGAATTGAAATAAAGACATCATTAGACAAAGGAAAGCTAAAATAATTTGTTATCATCACATCTGCTCTAAAAGAATTACTAAAGGAAGGTCTTCAGCCAAAACAAAATAATACCTGAAGGAAACTTAGCATATTATGCATAAAGGATGAATGATGAAAATAGCAGCTACCTAGGAAACTATCAGAGATTATTCCCCTCTTGAGTTCCTTAAAATATATCTGACAGTTAAAAGCGAAAATCATAACACTATCTAACGGGCTTTTAATGAATATAAAGGTAATATGTATGACAATTATAACATAAAGCATGGAGGACAAAAGAACATATGTGGGTGAGGCTTCTACATTCCAGTTGAAGTAAAATATTGATTCTAAGGAAAATGTGAAAAGTATGCAAATTGTGCAGCTACTCTGGAAAACAGCTTTCCAGTTTCTTACAAGTTAAACACATACTTATGTGACCCAGCAATTCTACTCCTAGGTATTTACAACAGAAATTAAAACATATGGTTACATAAAAATATGTACACGAATGTTTATACCAACTCTATTCATATCAAACAGGAAGCAACTCATATGTCCTTTAATGGTAAAAGAATAAACAAACATATAATCTACAGAATGGATTACTGCTCAGTAATAAAAAGGAATGAACTATTGATTCATCCAACAACTTGTATGAATCTCATAGACATTATGCTGACTAAAAGTCTCAAAGTGTTACGTAATGTGTTACTCTGTCAGATGCATTCGAATCAGAGTGACTTCATCTTGAGTGAGGGCTAGGAAACTGAGGCTGGGCCTTGCTGGGCTGCATCCTCAGAAAGTTAGGTATTCCTAGTTGCTAGATGTTTACAGTTAAAGGAACAGATTGATAATGTTTACTAAACAGACCCAGATTTGGGAGTGTTCTGGTATCCCATTATCTTGAGAAGCATTTGCTTTAAATATGATAATATCGATTATTGTAAAATACAGTAATTAAGAAAATTAATCCTTTATCACAGACCCTTGTAGCAGAGCACATCTCCCCATGATCTTTTTACCCTTAAACAAGTATTGTACCTGGTGTTACAAAGTAAGGGGCGGGCGCATTTCTCCTCTTTCGGGAATGCCCTACTCTGTCTATGAAGTAGCTGTACTTTAACCACGTTACTTTCTGAATGTGTAAACTTGCTTTTGCCTTCCACTGTGGATTCACCCTGATTTTTTTCTTGCGCGAGATCCAAGAACACTCCCTTGGGGTCTACATCAGGATTCCTTTCCTGTAACAATTTCATTTACGTGATATTCCGAAAAAGAAAAACTGTCAGTGGTTGAAACATAGCAAAAACTGAAGGCCTGAAAAGCGAAATGAATTGAGTGGAAGATTTCAACTCACGTTTTCCAGTAATTAATAGAACAAGTAGTCAAACAAAAGCCGTTAGGTTATAAAAGTTTTGAATAACAAAATTAAGAAAATTCACCAACCAGACATATGTAGAATATTGTACCCAACAACTGCAGAATACACTTGTTTCAAGTGCACATAACACATTTACCAAAACTGGCCACATACTCAGCCATAAAGACAATCTTAATATACGTCAAAGGCTAAAATTACGGAAAGCATATTCTTTGGTATACCACTACACACTCATGAGAATGGACAAAATTAAAGAGACTGACCATACCAAGTGTTAGTGAAAATTTGGAAACAACTGGAACTCTCATACAATGCTGATAAGACTGTAACAAATAGCCCCTTTGGAAAACAGTTTAGCAGTTTCCTGAAGAATTAAATGCATACTTAGCATGCCACACAGTCATCCCATTCCTGTTTGCCAAAGGTAAATGAAAGCATAGGTCATATACAGACTTGTATGCGATGTTCAAAGCAGCTTATAATAGCTAAAAGTCAGAAACAATTTGTACTGGTTCCTACAAATGTAGTGACTTCAAATAGGTATTTCATTTAAATTTATTTTTTGGTGGACAACAGGGTAACAGTTCAAAAAACAGTGCACTGACTGGGCGCCGTGGCTCATACCTGTAATTCCAAAACTTTGGGAGGTCGAGGCGGGTAGATCACCAGAGCTCAGGAGTTCGAGAGCAGCCTGGGCAACAGTGAACCCCCGTCTCTACTAAAAATACAAAAATTAGCTGGGCGCGGTGGTGGGCTCCTGTAGCCCCAGCTACTTGGGAGGCTGAGGCAGCAGAATCGTTTGAAACTGGGAGGTTGCAGTGAGCCAAATCACACCACTGCACTCCAGCCTGGGCAACAGAGCAAGACTCTGTCTCAAAAAAACAAAAAACAAAAACAAAATACATGTACTTTAGATATACTGGGTAGGAGGAAGGAAACTGAGAAGTAAAAAATGTCTATTAAGTCTTTCTTTATATATATTCAAGTATGCATCACTTAACTGGTTGTGATAGGTAGGTATCTAAACCTAGTCAAGAACTCAGGCTTTTGAGAGTCAGACTATCTATTTGGTTACCCTTAACTAATTTCTTATTCACTGTGTATCTCAACTGTCTTATTAATAAACAGAGATACTAACATTTCTACTTCATAAGGCTTTTGGGAAAATTACAACAAATAATCAACATAAAGTACTTTTAGCTTGGTACCTGCCATATAGCAAATGGTTAGTAAATGTTAGCTATACAAAATATTCACCTTAAATTCATTTTTAGAAAATAAGAATAATTCAAAAGAAGCTAAGCACCCACATGAAGAAGCTAGAAAAAGGACAACAAAATAAACTGAGAGAAATGTGTGAAGGGGACAATTTAGGTCAAGAGTGCTGTAAATTCAACTCTGAACTCTCCTCCTGCTCTACAAATGTGAATTATAGATTCAATTAACAAGAAAAAGATTCATGCATACTCAAATACAAAATGTGCATTTATTTGGGTCAGAAACTGAAGGCAGCAAAGTAGCAATGCGGGGCTAAAGCTGCAGCCCTGCAGATGTCTGGGTCCAGAAAGCAGCTAGGGGCCATTGGAGTATTCACTCCTTTGATGTAGCAAAAGCACTATGTGTGTGGCATGGAACCACGGTATAGCTGGACTCTCTGTGTAAAAATAGTTGTGATCACTGCCTGAGGTCACTGCTTATGTAAACCTGTATAACATCATAGTTGGGGGTGGCATAGATAAAACTACATAGAAATCTGAGCGAAGCTACATACTGCTTCAGATGTGAGCCAGCTGCCACTTTGAGGCAAGAGTTTCTCGCCACTGAGGCATAATTTTGGACTAGAGTCGTAGACAACCAGAGGGGAGAAACCACAGAGCTGCTAGACAGGGAAGGGTTAGCACAGAAAGTGGCAAAGGGAAAAACAGTACTGCTTAAAACGAATCTGCAGATGAAAACGCCAAACCACTCAAAAACAATTATTAAGGAGAGCCAAGAAAAAAAATTCATTGAAAGTAACCAAAAACATTTCTAAGTTTTCTTACATAGGTTTTTAATCTGGAAAGAAGAAAAAAAAATTAACTCTAGAGAAAGACTAATTGAAGGCAGAACCCAGAAAGACGACTTCTTCCTTGAGAACATTTGCTGAGCTGGATGAACCTGAGCATGAGTTTTCACAGCCTTGTCAACAGAAGATGGAAAATACAGTTTATATCTTTGAGGAGAACTTCATACAATGCTGAAACCACAAAGATCTACTCTTTAGTATAAGGGTAAATTAGAAATACTTACACATTTCTGGAACTGAGGCAGGAGAACAGGGTCTGGAGGCAGAGAACTAAAAGCCATTTCACGCGGAATCAAGGAAAACACCAAGGTTTGGGGGCAGGAAATCTGAGGCTAATTTATGCTAACTTTCTAAAAGAGAAAACACCTGGGTCTGGGGCAGGGCCTCTAAGGCCAATTAAGGCCAACTTTCTAAAGCTACAAAAGGAAAAACCCCATCTCCCACAATCACCTGAGTAGCAAAGAATGAAAGGCTACTGTCCCTACTACCCTCTCCTTCCATGATGTCTCAGGTGGAAAAGGAGAGTGCCTTGGATTGGCAGTGGGCCAAGAAGGGACCATCCCGTCATCTGCACCAGGTACCAGTTCACCTCAGCCTTTAATGAGCCACAAACCAAATCCTTCATCCAGGTAAGAGGTAACAATAGGAACCTCAACAGGAGTACTTAAAACCCAGAAAACTTTGCAACTGGGCCGGTGAGCTGCTTGTTTGGGCCCACTACCTACCACCCTATAGAGTGCTTTCTCACTCCAATTTAATAAATTCCTGCTGTCGCTATTTAATTCCTGTGTTTCATTCCTTTGTTACTTTGTGAATTTTGTCTAATTCTTTGTTCAAAACGCCAACTGGACAAAACTTGGTCAACTTACACTCAAGGCCCTCCTTCTTGTAACCCAACCCTTAGGACTGTAAGAAAAATTATGTCTCCAACTTTAGCACACTGGAGACAGGAAGGATTTCTCTTGAGAATCTGTATTCACAGTCTGGTCTTCAAGCAGGTTTGCAGCCTAATTTTATATTATTTTAGTAGTCTCCAAAACATCAAATAATAAATGTAAAGTCAGAGTGGAGTAATAGTGCCTCCAGATCTCCAGACAATTGGCACAATCTAATCCTCTTTGGAGGAAACTTGCTTCATTCCAGGCCTCTAAGAATTACCATGTGAGGAGAATTACGATATTACAACACAATACAAATCGCCAAACATTAAGGAAATAAGACCCACAGGTGACAACAAACAGAAACCACAGATAGCAGAATGAACCTGAGAAAACTTTAGACATTGGCATATTCAGACATAAAATAATTTTGCTTAATATGCTTCAATAAATAAAAGACAAGCTTGATAATGAGTAAATTATGAAGTTGAAGAAAAAAGGAGAACATCTACAATGAAAAATGTAATAATTGTAAATTTTTAAAATTTTGTGGATACAGTTAACAGCAGATTCAATATAGCTAAAGAGAACATATCAAAACAATTAAGTTATGCAGAATATATATCCCAGAGTGAATAAGAAAAAAAGGTTAAGAGTCATAGAGGATACAGTAAAAAAAGTCTAACATGAACTTAGTTTTAAAAAGAAAAAAATGGAGCAGAAGCTGTATTTGAATACATAGTGGCTGTGAATGTTCCAGAAAGTCACCATTTGACAGATTCAAAAGCTTTAATAACTCAAACAGAATAATAAACAGAAATCCATACCTAAACATATCATTAAGCATCTACAGAGCACAGATGACCAAAAGGTCTTAAATGCAGCCTAAGAGAAAGCAGCTCAATTAGATGGACAGCTGTCTTCTTAGCAATCGATATAGAAGTGAGAATAAAGTAAATGGTATTTCAATAAGCTGAAAAAAAACTACTGTTCAATCTACATTTCTATACTCAGAAAATTTCCACAATGAGAACTTAAAGGATTTTCAAACAAGCAAAGGTTTAAAATCTGTAATCTGAAAACTCCTACTGAAGAACATTATAAAGGATGTACTTCAGGTAGGAAAGTCAACCCAGACAGAAGAACTTAAATTTAAGAGGTAGGGAACAAGAAAATGGTAAATATTATGGTAAATCTGATAGAACCAGATGGTGATATGTTAACTTCTCTCCTGGGAAATTCTTTAAGCCCTGGAATGAAGACAGTTTCCTCTAAAGACAATCTGTCAAACATTTGGGGGCACTCTTCATCAAGTAGTTAAAACAAAACAAAGGATTACAGGACAATTGCAGGACAGTTGTGGGGGCTCAACAAACATTTATTAAATGAATGAATGAAGTAAATAGATGGATATCATAATTAATTCTACTTGCTCCTAGCAAAAGCTAAAAACTGGTTGATTGCCAGCCATTTCTGGTTTGCAAACAATTCATTTGGCCAACAACACATTGACAAAGACAAAGGCAAAACAAAACAGGAGATTTTATATCAAGTACTGGGCTTACATTCCTGGTTGTCAATGGTGGACTGAAACTAACTCACTGCTGCCACCTTAGAAGGGGCTTGTACTCCTCCATGGGAGATTGGAATTGAAGAGTTTTTATGTCCTTGTTTAGGATGAGGTTAAAAAAAATGATTAACTTTAGACATTAATAAGTTAAGGATACATGGTATAATTTTCTGAAGTGGCAAGCTGAGGCTACTAGAAGTTTTTACTTCTCTTATTTAACAGGGGAGAAAGCACCCCACATGTGACAGGAAGTACAGTTAGGCTTTCTGCATGATAACAGTAGCAACCACTACTGGGGAAAGCCATCATAAAATATTCTCTTTCTTAGGCCTAAAAGAGGCTTATAACTGCCGAACTGTCAACATATTTTTGTTTTGCTCACACATTTCTGGTCAACACTTAAAAATCCAAGGATGTAATAGACCCTTCTGAGCCTGCATTTTTGATTGGCAGTCTTGGACCAGAACTCAGCAGCAGATGCCACCTTTTAGAAAGGAGTGTATGGTCTAAAATGGAATTTAATTATTTTTAGGTTCCAGTTTGGGAAAAGGGTAAATATGATTAACTATAGACTTTAATAAATTAAGGATACATGGTGTAAATTCCTGGAGAGTATCCACTAAAAAATTAAAATAAAATTTTAAAAAACAGCATAAAGTACAGATGCTCCTGGACTTATGATGAGGTTGTGTCATAATAGATCCATTGAAAGTTAAAAATATCATAAGTTGAAAACGCATTTAATATACCTAACCTACCAAACATCACAGCTTAATCTAGGCCACCTTAAACATGCTCAAAATGCTTATATTAGCCTAAAGTTGGAAAAAATCATCTAACATTTGTTTTATAATAAAGTGTTGAATAGCTTATGTAATTTATTGAATACTGTATTGAAAATGAGAAACAGAATGGTTGCATGGGTATGCACAAGTATGGCTTCTGCTGAAAGTATTGTTTTTGCACCATTGTAAAGTTGCAAAATCATTTAGTCAAACCATCGTAAGTCTAGGACAATCTGTATATAACTTCCAAAACTAGCAGAATATTAAAATAAGATGAGAAAAGTGATACTTCAAATAAAAGCAAGAAGCAACATAAAAATAGAATGTATAATAAACAGAATGTTCACAATTTATCATTACCATAAACATAGTGGACTAAATGCTGTAATTAAAAGACAAAGGTTATCTGATTGGATTTTTAAAATGTATGTATATACTACAGAAAGGTTGAAAGTATAGTAGTGAAAAAATATATATCATACAAATACCAAACAAAGTTTGTGTGGCGGTCTCAAACAAAATAAACTTTAAGTGTGGTCACTACTAATAAGGCTCAATTCACCAGAAAAATAAACTTGTCTGAATATAATATAATCTCAAATTAAAACAAAAGCTCATGAAATCACAGCTATAAATGGACAAATCTACCACCACAGTAACGAATTTTAAAACATTTCTCTCAGTAACTGATAGATGAAGGAGAAAAAGAAAAAGAAATCTGTAAGGCCACTGAAAATTTGAATACAGTACATGTAAATAATTTGTTCTCAGATATATACCTTCTGTCCACAGGGCTTTCTTTGGCATTTCTTGTGGTGCAGGTCTGTGGTGATAAATTCTGAAAAAGTGTTTGCCTTTTTTTAAATTAAAAAAAAAAAAAAGTTTCTTTAAAGTGCAAGATACTGCTATGTTGCCCAGCCTGGGGTACAGTGGCTCTCCACAGGCACGATAATAGCTCATTACAACTTCAAACTGATTGCTTTAAGCAATCATCCACCTCAGGCTCCCATAACTGCACCTTTGTTTTTGAAAGACATTTTTGCTGGGAATACAATTCTAGGTTAACAGTTTTTTTTCTCTCCACTCTTGAAGGTATCCAGCAGCTCACTGATGCTCTTTTCCTTTCCTTTTTAAAATACATTTTTAAATTCCTTTTTCCTCTCTGTTTCATCTTAAATAATTTCTATGTCCATGTCTTCGAATTCACTGATCATTTCTTCTGCTATGTCTAATCTGCCATTAATCTCATCAGCATAATTTTTATCCCAGACATTGTAGTTTTCATCCCTAAAAGCTCAATTTGGGCCTTTTAAAATATAATTCCTTTTTTTTTTTTTTAAGGCAGGGTCTTGCTCTATCAGCCAGATTGGAGTGCAGTGGTATGATTATGGCTCACTGCAACCTTGACCTCTCAGGCTCAAGCAATCCTCCCACTTCAGCCTCCCAAATATCTGAGACCACAGGTTCACATCACCAAGCCAGGCTTTTTGTTGTTGTTGTTGTTGAAACAGGGTCTCACCATGTTGCCCAGGCTGATCTTGAACTTCCTAGGCTCAAGCGATCCAAAATTTGGTTTTTGTTTAAATGATTTGAGTCAGCAGTGAGCCAAGAGGCATACCACAATTTTTAAAAATAGGTCTCCTCCAACAGATGCTGGAGAGGATGTGGAGAAATAGGAACACTTTTACACTGTTGGTGGGAATTTAAATTAGTTCAACCGTTGTGGAAGACAGTGTGGCAATTCCTCAAGGATCTAGAACTAGAAATACCATTTGATCCCAGCAATCCCATTACTGGGTATATACCCAAAGGATTATAAATCATTCTATTATAAAGACACATGCACACGTATGTTTACTGCAGCACTGTTCACAATAGCAAAGACTTGGAACCAACCCAAATGCCCATGACGATAGACTGGATAAAGAAAATGTGGCACATATACACCATAGAATACTATGCAGCCATGAAAAAGGATGAGTTCATGTCCTTTGCAGGGACATGGATGAAGCTGGAAACCAACATTCTCAGCAAACTATTAAAAGAACAGAAAACTAAACACTTGTTCTCACTCATAAGTGGGAGCTGAACAATGAGAACACATGGACACAGAGAGGGGAACATCACACACCGGGGCCTACTGGGGGGTGGGGGGCTAGCGGAGGGGCGGCATTAGGAGACACACCTAATGTAGATGACAGAATGATGGATGAAGCAAACCACCATGGCACATGTATAACTATGTAACAAACATGCACGTTCTGCACATGTACCCCAGAACTTAAAGTATAAAAAAGATAGGTCTCCTCCAGCTCCTCCCCACCCTTGACTGGGTACCTTGAGACCATCAGGCATTGGTGAAGTCTGACACTTTAGCACGTGATTCCTAAGCCATTTTGTCTAACTGAAAAGATATATTGGTCATTAGTATTTCCAAATTCCTGACATACTAATATTTGAGGTGTGAGAATGAGGAATCAAAATTTCTGAAAATTCTGAGGAATTCCTAAATTATATAGAATTGGCATTCCGTAGTTTTCATAACCCTATACTTAATGTATTTTTGAATAATTGTGAGTGACCATAATAAACACGGAATCATTTTTCTGTAGTAGGTATACTGTTTCGGAAATTTTTTGCTAAAAAAATTAAAATGTAGTTTATTACTACAAGCCAATATATTGTGACAAGATGATATATTTTAATATCATTATTTCTACCTGATATATTGACAACAGAAATGAAGGAAACAGTAACATAAATGTGAAATAAAAAATTATTTTAAAACCTGGAAGTATAACAAATATTTGTTTAAAAGACAGTCCCAAAATAAAAATTTAAAGCCCATGAAGCATCAATTGCCCTACCCAATTGTCTTTATTTGGTTACTAATATTTCAGATATAAAATTGATTTTATTTGGTATTGATTTTAGTCAAGTCCAAAAACCATGACTGGCCTCTTACTTTTTTAATTATGAAAGCATTTTGTCTGCCCTGATTTTGGTCTTACTGTTGAAACTGAGTTGCTTTTGGTAATTTAGAGTTTAGATCCATTTCTGATTTCTTTTTGAAATATTCTGTAACATTCACATCTTCTTTTCTTTGCATTTCTTGTTAAAGTATTTGCGAAGAATAGTAGACTTTGGCAAATAAACACTGGGAAGTGCCAACAAATTGATTTGGTAGTATTTGAAATATGTAACATTTGGATCTCTTGGCAAGGTTAAAGCATTACACAGAAGCATAGTCAAAATTGCCAACTTAAGGGCTTATTTTGTTCCTATGTTGTGCAATTTCTTGGAACACCATTGACAGGATTCATATAAAGGATGCTATCTACATAAACCTATGGATATTTATTATATTTACAAGAATGACTAACCCTTAGCAGCAGATAAGCATGAACACATACTTACAACGTGGCAATTGCTACAAGTAAGACCGAGTGATTCCACCGTGATCACTTTCCTTCCAAGTGCTCCTGTTCTGGTTCCTGGAAATGTTGACCTTACCCTTGAACTCCACATGTCAATGTTCCCTGCTCTTGCTTTTGAGCTTGACTTCAACAAATTCCTTCAAAGAATAATGGCTCTAAGTTGATTACTAAGCTTTAATTCTAACAAGAGAGTTACAATACTTTTCTCTGTCTCAACAATTTCTTGACTGATTTGTCTTGAAATTCAGAAAATATATAAATGTCCCAAAATATGCTGTTAGGAATTCCCATATAGAAACACTTTGGGACCTCTTTTTAACTTAAAAGATTTAACAATTCCCATATAGAAACACTTTGGGATCTCTTTTTAACTTAGTTAAAAGATTTAACAATTACTGTAATGGCCATATTCTTCATTTAATTAAATTTTGTTGCTTAAAGCCCTTCTCCTTTTAATGGTTGGAGATAAGAAGTTGTTGTCTTTTCCAGCCTTGCATGATCTAAATTTCTAGAGTTCCTTCATTCTCTTTTGTTCTCATTTGCAATTCTACCATTTCTCAGCTGAGTTAATTTCTTCAAATATTTTGCAGGCCGGGCGCGGTGGCTCACGCCTGCAATCCCAGAACTTTAGGAGGCCAAGGCGGGTGGATCACCTGAGGTCAAGAGTTTGAGACCAGCCTGGCCAACATGGTGAAACCCCGTCTCTACTAAAAACACACACAAAAAAAGAAAAGTAGCTGGGCATGATGATGGATGTCTGTAATCCCAGCTACTCCAGAGGCTGAGGAAAGAGAATCACTTGAACCCAGGAGGCCGAGGTTTCAATGAGCTGAGATTGCTCCACTGCACTGCAGCCTGGGCGACAAAGCGAGCCTCCGTCTAAAAAAAAAAAAAAATTGTCAAATGCAGCTAATACAGTAATGAAAACATGCTGTTAACATTCTGTTATCTGAAGTCTTCTGATAGAGATAAAAAGTTTATTAAGAATATCATTTGTCTTCCAAGTATTACAGGTAGTAGTTTACCAAATGTTTCATCACAGCAGAATTTGGATCACCTCATGTAGCTACATCATCTGTCACCTAAGCCACTGTAATTGTTTAGGTTTTTTTTTTAATGGTAGCACTCCACTTCCAGGATTCATTACTGTATTGATCAAGATAGGCTAGGTTGTGCTTCAGAAACAAAAATTCCCTGACTATAGTGGCTTAAAACAAAAATGCTCATTCTTTCTCACATGACCATCTGAATAAACAGGGAGGCTCTGTTCATAACAATCCCTCAGTAACCCAGCCTGATGGAGTAATCACTGTGTCAAATATGACAAGACAGCACAACAACGGAAAAAAAAATTCTTAAGAGTTTCATATCAGCAATTACATGCTCCAAACCAGAAGCCACTTTCACTCACAATGAATTGGCCAGGAACTAGTTACATGGCCACACACACTAGAAATATTTAGTGAATTGTGGGAATGAAAATCACATTAGGTTTAAAAAAAATAATATATAAAATTGACTTTGAAGAGTTGAAGAAAAAAATCTAGATGAAAACATCAAGTCTTAGAAGTTTATGCCAGGAAAAAAGCTTTTCCACTAGTATTGTGGTAGGAGAATTTTCCATTTTTACCTTACAAACTTAAGTATTGCTTTGCTATTTTTAAAATAAAGATTATGTTAATATAATAATGGATATTTTGGCTGGGCAAGGTGGCTCACACTTGTAATCTCAGCACTTTGGGAGGCCAAGGCAAGTGGATCACCTGAGGTCAGGAGGTCAGGACCAGACTTGGCCAACATAGTGAAACCCCACCTCTATTAAAAAATACAAAAATTAGCTGAGTGTTGTGGCAGGCACCTGTAATCCCAGCTACTCGGGAGGCTGAGACAGGAGAACTGCTTGAAACCGGGAGGTGGAGGTTGCAGTGAGCTGAGATTATGTACATCATTGCACTCCAGCCTGAGTGACAAAAGCAAAACTTCATCTCAAAAAAAAATAATAATAATGGATGTTTTTACATTAAAAAACTGAATACTGTTCAACAAACGGCACACTTTGTAATTCTAGTACAGGTAATAAGAAATGTGGACCAAATTTATAAACTAAGTTCCACTGTAATGTTTACAACAGTGAAAATTAAAGAATGGTTACAGAAGTACGATATGCACTATATGAAAATATTAAGTAAGGGCTGGCAAACTTTTTCTTAAAGGGACAGTTTATACAGAACTTAGGCTTGTGGGCCATATGGTATCTGTCTCATTCAACTGTGCTGTTGATGGTATGGCTGTTCTAGTATTTTGTTTATAAAAATAGTTGGTCAGCTGTGAGTCACAGTCTGCCAACCCCAATATAGAGAATTAAAATGTTTTTAAGGCAGTGGAGGTTAGGCACGGTGGCTCATGCCTGTAATCCCAGCATTTTGGAAGGCCGAGGCAGACAGATCACTTGAGGTCAGGTAATGGCCAACATGGCAAAACCTTGTCTCTACCAAAAATACAAAAATTAGCTGGGCATGGTGGTGGGCACCTGTAATCCCAGCTCCTTGGGAGGATGAGACACGAGAATCACTTGAACCTGAGGGGCAAAGGTTGCAGTGAGCTGAGATCGCACCATTGCCCCCTAGCCTGGGCAACAGAGTGAGACTCCATCTCAAAAAAAATAATAATAATAATAATGTTTTTAAGGAAGCGGATAAAGATGAAATATTTTAAAAGTTTAAAACCATAATTTATACTTCTCCAAATCTCCACAAACAGAATGCTTTACTTTAATATTTAGGGGAGAAAAGTCATTTAAAAAAAGATGTTGGAGTGGATCAGCAATACAGTCAATTTTTCTCTTCTGTTGTTGGCAGTCTAATGATCCTAGATGTACCTGGGGCATTTTCCAGAAGCCAAACCCAAGGTAATGTCTGTGATCAACTATCTTTCAAGCCATTAACATCTGCAGCTACAGCTTCCCTTATAGTGTAGTCCAATAATCTTCATAATAATGGCACACTGTGCCATCCATGAAGGCTAAATTATGTGTAATATATTCTTCTTAAAAATGAAGTCAATTTTACAGTACTTTTAACAAGCAATTAAAAGTTAGCTAGAACTAACTATAAAA